TTGCCAGCAGGCAGGCGTTTTTCGTCAAAGCATATTCATTACTATATTATGAAGAACGTAGAACGTAATATATTTAATTTATTTTTTGATAATTGGTTCTTAGCAAGACACAACTGGGAAATTGTCCAATGTTTGCACATGAACAAAGTATTTCTAAATTTTTACTGTTGCGAACTACTTCGTGATGCGTACGAACGCTCTTTAATTACAAGTGGTGAACCGTCCCCCAGCCTTTGGATAAAGTCTCAGAGCTAAACTAAAAAACAGATTTTTTTTTTTTTTTTTTTTTTTTTTTGCGGGGGTTACGTTATAACGTTGAGCTCTGATTGAGGGATAGTGGGTAGATCTCAAGGCAGCTTGCTTTGGAGTCTACCCACTATTCTTCAATCAGAGCTCGGCATTGTGACGTCACCACAACCCCCTGCAAAAGAAGCAGACGATCTTGCGTTCCGCATAATTTGCAAACATGTACACTTAGAGCTGCATCCGTCTTCATGCATCCTTAACCCGAACGAAGTAAGAAGAAACGTTACGTCAAGCGAACAGCATGGCAATACACAAAAACAAAACGCAATGAAGAGGTTTACGTGAAAGTATTTAGGGAAATAATACAATTATTATAGTTACACAGCACAAGAGGGCATGGCACAATTACAAAAGTAGAATTTGCTGAAGGTACTGAAAGCAACATAATTCTGATAACAAAACTGGGCGAAAAAATTATGCGTATCGAGACTGATCAAGGATTAGGCCTTTTGCCCACTTCATGCTTCTGTACTCTCGCGTGTGTGCAGCGCAGGCGAAGGCACTACGCCAAGCGAAAAGAGAAAGGACGAGCACTAGGAAGGCGGGACGGGAGAAAAGGGCAATGGAGGACGAGGGGAGAAAGAGAGAGCACTAAAAAATAACGTCCGTGTTCTTGTCCTCTGTATGTTTACTTTTTTTTTTTCTTTTTAAGGAAATGAGGTTTTTTCTTTTTGTCCCCAGCCGTCCTAGTGCTTGCCCTTTCACCCCTCGCCGGGCGTTGCCTTTGACTGTACTGCACGCAGCTAGTGGCACGGGGTATAGTGGCAACATAAAATTCCATCACTTCAGCAGTTAGTGCTTTGGAGTGATCAGCTCATCCAATCGTTTGGACAAGCAGTGCCCGCTAAGGCACCTGATGACCGCTAACGCGAGAGGAAGCAACCGATGCCACCGTTTTCTCCTCCAGTTGTCGACTGCAGCGCCACAGGCGGCCGTCCGCGTTTTGGGCATAGCGCCTCCCACTGGCCTCGCTTTTGCCACGAAGGGGGAGGGTAATATGGGCCGGGAAGGAGGAAACAGACAGAACGGTGGAGAAGAGAGGGAAAATTCTCCTTCTCTCTTTAGCGTTCCGTTTGCTTCCTCCTCCCAGGCCCGTCTTACCCTCTCCTTTCGTTCTTGAGTTGCAACGGACTATAGAACACTGTAGTGTAACGAAGGCTGTAGCTTGAGGAGCGGCCTCGCGCTTGAAGACGGCCGCGTAACGGCGCTTGTGCATGCAGCACCGTGGTCGCCACGACGGATTCGCAGCAGCCGACGCTGTTGTGGGCGTCGTCGCCCCGTGTGCACGCTTTTCAACTGCAGATTACGGTGTTCTGTTAATCGCCTGTGATCGTGAGTGGAAGCCATGATCATGAACCTTACTCTAACACATGTCCAGACGGTAGACCCGATGAAACGGCGGCTTGAGTCCCTTGGTGGCAGAGTTTCGCACGTTTATTCTTTGGGCGTGTCAACAGGCGCTAGTTAGGTCTTCATTGTCAATTGGTTCTTGTAATATATGTAGGTGTACCACTTCTGTAATCTCCTCCAGTACCGATTACCCTCTCTTTTTGGCGACCGTACGTGCCGATTAATGCAACGCCTGTAGTTGTTGTTTTTTTGTTTTTTTATATGGCATTGATATTACACCTTTGAACGGTGATTACAGTGTATTAATGTAATTATTTTGTCAACTGGCTCCGCACACAGCCTTTGCTGTCCCTTGAAGCATACTGCGACAAAAAAAAAAGCGATAGAGAAATTGTAACAATTCAGAAATTGCACGTTCTTATTTATTATGCGAACTTTACTTATTAAGGTAATAAAATGTTAAAAACATACGCATAATTGTTTCTAATTACTGTGAAACATGATAAACAAACTAAAGATACGCACAGACAAAATGAACGAGCTAATAAAATTACAACGCATATGGTGAGGTACGTGGTTTTAACTAAGATAAAATTAACATAGGTAAAATGTAGTGGTCCAATAAAGTAAGAGACACGTGCTTAGTACTTTTGACTGAAAAAAATAGAACCAATAATTTGAGCAAGGAAATGAGTTAATTGAAATACAGCAAAGCTCCGTAGAGCTCTAGCGAAAACCGGTAAATAGCGAATTTTGTTTAGTACCCGCAATCCGAACAAAACTTTTATTTTAATTTGTTGATAACCGAAACCGAAAACCATTACCAGTTACTCGATATACTAAAGCAATTCGACAATAAAACCATTTTTGCAAATATTTTCGTTAAGAAAACCCAGAACTTGGGATCATGCCATACTCTCATTTGTTAAAATACATAACCCGTGAACGAACTACAGTTTGAGACTGCGGGCATGTCTTGTAGAAGTAAATTGGAAAAGATAAAACAATCCCTGATTGATTGACTGTTTAAGCTCTATCTTAAATTTATTTATTGTCGTATCAATACTGTTTTTCTTCTAGCAATCTGCTATCTAAGAGGCTCGAGACGAACAAAGAAAGGTAGTACATTACCTATAAGGCTGGGTTTCTGATCCTCCCTCCCTCGCTAACGGAGATGAAAGCCAGGAACAGAAGTAACACTCGTACAGTAGCCAAGCACGTAGCAAGGATTTTTTTTTTTTTTTTTTTTTTTTTTTTGGGGGGGGAGGGGGGGGCCGTTTATGACAAAATGCTGCATGAGGGGGGGGGGGAGGGGGAGGGGAGGTCCCAGCAAAATGGAAGATTTCGGGGAGGAGGGGGGGGGGGGGGGGGGCGCCTGGCTACGTGCCTGACAGTAGCTGTAAGAAAAGTATTCCTTTTTTTTGCATGAAAAACTAATGCTAGAAAATTGTGAAGGGAAATAAATGTATTTAATGCATATTTTAAAATAACCATCGATCTATCTCATGCACAACGCATGAGGCCAGTGAGAAACCTTCAATATTTACAATTGTTTTAATAAACTTTTTAATAACTTCAAAAATCACGATTTTTTTTTTTTTTTTTAGTTTCAGCACGAGTATTGTGACCCATAAATGGAGCGAGCAAGCCCAAAGGAACAACGATGCAAAGCAGCAGAGACTGGGATAATTTGATAATTTGAAGAGGGAGATTTAATAAAAAAACAGTTGGTAGTCCAGCGGTCGGTTCGCCAATCTTTTCTCCTTGTCACTTTCCTTCCTTTGTTCAGCTGGTTTTACCCAAGATAATTTGACATTTATCATTTTGGGACTGTACCATTTGTTCACATCTCTCACTCATCTCTAAACAGCTTCTCACTTCAGTGCATCAAGTGATGGACAAAATAAAGATATTTTCACTCGTGTAGATGATAAAATCAAATGAGTCGCGTCGCGTGCGCCATCTGAATCCACCCTATGTTGAATAGTCCGCGAAAATAAAATAATCCGATATCCATCGCGCGAGTACGGGCATAGCAAAAGGAGCAGCTATCATTCAGGCATTGCCAACTTCGCAGTGTAGCAACTGCTGTTGAGCGAAAATAATAAAAATAAACGAACTGCACTTCGTGAGAAAACCCACTCTCACGACCCCCTCGGGGCGCGCGTTTGGAATTTTGATTTTTGCGGTGGTGCTTGTATATTTATTTGTCATCGTCCGTTCATTGGACCTAAATAATAAAATGTATTGAAAAAATCTGGAGCGCTGTTTTTGCGTCTCAAAGCACCCGACAACGCGCTCCTGGCACTACTCGGCTACCCACGGAGTCCGGGAATCCTAGCCGGGTTAGCCGGGGATAGCGGAGCGCCCCCTACATTGTGACGTCACCTTACTGCTTACATCGTGGCTGTGATGGAGCTTGCCGCTCTAGCTCTGGTGCGCCACCGACCTCTCCCCCCTCTACCACCACCCCTTTCCCTTTCCCCCAAGGCCAGCGATAACTGAACGTTGGCGTGTACTTGCTTGTATCCGCGCTATGATTTTTCACCACCAGAAAGTTTACGTATCGATGACCTCAAAACACTGTAGTGCTGATGAAATTATCGGTTCAATTCAGACTGCCTATCTGCGTCGGTCGCAGGAGAAATAAATCTAGAGGATATCGACCACAGTGTAACTTACCTTGCGAGTCGGTCCGAGGGCTTCTGTCAAAGCGTTGGTTTATATTTAAAAACGAGTCAGACGTTGGTAAAGAGACGCCGATATGCCGGCATGCTCGGTGATCACGGTTCAGCACCCTTTAATCGCAATCCTCAAACTGTAGCGACTGCGTGGGTGTCACGCCAAAACCCAAACTGAAACCGAAACCAAAAAATCTCCAGAACTATTTTGCGCAATAATTTTCCCTCCCCCTTCCCCCCTCTCTCCCCCCCCCCCTTCCCCCCGTCTCTCTCACCTCCCCTCTTCCATCTCTCCGCTTTCTCTTCATTGTCCGATGCAAGCTGCAAGCTACGGGGCTACGGCAGCTACGGGGCCAAAATGATACGTTCTGCAAAACCCTCATTAGCCACCACAGCCCTGCCAAGGTCGACTTGCGAAAAGTTCTGGCTTGGACCTCGCCGAGAGTCCCGGGTCGTGCAGAACCGTGCCGAGCCCCAATCACCGAATAAACGCAGAAAAAGCGCGAGTCGTTGATGTGGTACGACAAGGCCACCGGCGGCCAACGCAGGGCCAAAGTGGCCAAGTCTCGGCGACAGGCAAACGCGCAGCGCGTCGATAAACTGGGACCGAAACGGGCCAGGGTATTGAGCCAAGGGTTCTATTTGGCGGGCGAATTCCGTCGAGAGCCCCGGAAGTCGAGCGAAGAAGCACGCCAGCAGCAGGATTTGACCACTTTGACCAGACGACCAGGAGGGGCATCACGTGATGCCTCCTGCCAGAGAGCAGATCGGCTGCGCGCAGAGCCGAGAGCGGATGGGAGGCCGGCACCGGTCCGCCCAACTTTTCCCAACAGCCGTCCCCGTTCACCGCGGACAGTCATCGGTGCATCGCGGCTAACCCAAGTGGGCGCCGGTCCTACCTCGTGTATTCCGCAGAGAGCGGACACCAGAGCGACGCCACCAACGACGGGCGTGACGCTGTCCATCTGCCCAGTTGGCACACTCCAACAGGGCGCCCCAGCCTTGTCTGCGGGCCCGGTACAAAGAAACACCACTAGACAACGCGCGCTTGGCTTCTCACAGGTGAGCACCGATGCCTTTCTCTGCACCAGGATTCCGCAGGAGGGATACGATCGGGCCGAGCAGCGCTGGCGCTGAGACGAGAACAGTGCACGGTCCGTGTGCCCGCATGGAGGATGTCTTGTCTGCGTCGGAGGTCGGAGACCATGTTGGGAACGGAGAGCCCGTCGGCAGACAGCTTTCACGCGCGGTGCGGTTGCAGCTCGGCGGCGGCCACCGCTTAGTGGTTGAGTGATCGGCGGCAGTGCCGGCGTCATTTTGAGCCCCGACGGGCTAGGTGGGCTACGATGCCTTCGTGCCGGCGCCGGTCCGCTTCCAGGGAGGAGACACCCTTTGACTCAAGCAGCGCCGCCTTCTCGACGCGTCGGCGCCATTTTAGGTCAAGCGTTTCGCGCGCGCTGCGGTGTGTGTATGTTATGTGCTCGGGGTGCTAGACCGCTGCTTTTTGTTTTGACACGATGGGCTGCTGGGTTCCCTCTGTGCGCTGGCTCAGCTGGAAAGGGTACCGATTATTTCGTTTTCCTCGCGTCTGCGCGCCGAGAAAGGGAGGTAGGTGCTAGTGAAACGTGATGGGTCAAAAATCAATCAATCAATCAATCTTTTATTTGCACAAAAGAAAAGGGGGCAGAGCACACGAGGAAATACGAATAAATGAAGAAGGATAAAACTTAGATTAGAAATCAAAATGGAATAAATTTACAAATGAAAAGCACAATGTGGCTATTGGTAAACATTATCAATGCAAGGAGCTACAAACACCACAGAGTGGCTCGGCGACAAAGGTAAACGCAAACAGAGCAGCAGCGGTGCAGTGTCCATAATCTCGTAGGAGGTTTGTCAGGGCCTGCGGCGTGACACTACCAGGTACTGTAAAGCTACCTTAGCCGCTGTGGCGTGGCTCACAGAGTGTGAATGTAAAGTTGGGGTTGCACTGCTTATACATTACACAAAAGATGGACTGCAAACAGGTTTGAACGCAAGTCAACACGAGATCCATGCTTCGAATGCCATGTGGCAACGAGTTCAAGGAGAAACGTGGCAAGCGACATTCATACCACGGATGTTGCGGTGACTGATGTCTGCCAGACTGTCTTTTGTATGATGTATAAGCAGTGTGAGATTTCGGCTTAAGGTTTAAGCAAATCTATGTATTACGGATGACACATGTATTTCTTAACGCCGCATCCCACTGGAACGACTGACAGCAACAAACGACAGCGACACACGACAGCAGGCGACGAACGACACCGACAGACAGTATGTTTGTCGGAGTTCACCATCCCACCTGGAGGACATGACGCAGAACACGGGGACAAAAACTTGTTGCCTAGTGGGACTGAAGTTGTCAACAAAACACTTCAAAATACACAGACAAACAATGTCTGTCGACGCGATTTTTGTGTTTCGATCTTTGGGCACAAAACGCGCAGACAAACACGCTGAAAGTGGAGACAGTTACTTTATTTCTTAATTATAGCTTCTGCTAGTTCTCATCTGTTGTTGGCGACTTTCCGTAAACCGTCTTGACAATCGACACCAAACTTTTTCTTAACTAGAATTCCTAAATCATTCATTATTGGGGTCGTTCCAGGCATTCGAGGTGAGCGCCACGGAATTTCACACCGATTTCGAGGTTGTTTATATCCAAATGCTCGAGGGCAGGCGTTTTTTGGGTGAGACATAAGGCATCCCGATTATCACAGAATGCGATGACAAGTCTCTCGCCTGTTGGAACAGCTTGCCGCAACGTCGTGTACTACTTCATAGTGAGCGGTCTTGCTTCAATCAGACCTCAAACGTCGGTGTATCCATCCTGAAGCGGGAACGTGGATGTCACCACCTGGAAGCTCCACCTCGCGCACCAGGTTTTCGCGAGCAAAATCGTCCACAGCAAATTCCCTTTCGCAATACGTTTGCCAGCAAACAAGCCACGACCACATTCTGCAATTGAGGGACAGGAACTGCGGGAACGACCAGTGACCGCCAAGGCCTGTGAAGATCAAGCGGCAAAGCGAGCCACGGGAGAAAGGGTAGAAGGGTGGGAAGGGAGGCAACAGAGGGTACAAGCAGGCGAGGAGGATACGTTTGTCTTCAAGAGATGTTCCTCAATGGGACCGTCATGACAATCGACACCAAACTTTTTCCAAACTAGATTTACCGAATCGTTCATTATTGGGGTCGTTCAAGGCATTCAAGGTGAGCACCACGGAATTTTGCGCCAATTTTGAGATTGTTTATATCCAAATGGTCGAGGGCAAGCGTTTTTTGGGGAAGACATACAGTTCAAGTCCAAGGACAAACAAGAACTTGTCCGTCGTGTCGTTTGTCGGGGGTGTCGGTCGTTGCAGTGGGACTGCATCAGCAACACAAAACGTTACGGTGTCGCTGGACAAAAATCAGTGTCTGTGTCGCTCTAGTGGGACGAGGCTTACCGGAAATGAAAAGAACAACCGCATCTCCACGTGGTGAATGATGTTGATTGGAACGAAGCTCTGGTGGTGCTTGTCTGCGTAGACGCTGAGCCGCACCATGCTGAGCCTTTCGTTCGTTTTCATCCATGTCACGCTGCGGTCAAATGCTCAAATGCGTATATAACCACGTTCCATACTCTTTCTGACATGGATGAAAACGAACGAAAGGCTCAGCATGCTGCGACTCACCGTCTACGCGGACAAGCACCACCAGAGCTTCGCCCCAATCAACATCATTCACCACATGGAGATGCGGTTGTTTTTTTTTTTGCCCTACACGAGCCTGAGAGCACATGCTCACGTGCTCGTGAGCACGAGCACCCAACGCCGGACATCGGACGGACATGGCTAGCCCATAAGGAGCTTCGCCCCTAAAACAGTGACCACAGACACGATCCTCGTCAAGGCTCTTCAAATCTTTCTGGTGTACGCGAGCAAGCAAGAAGCCCGGTGTTTCTCAAACAGGAGTTTTGTGCAGTCAAACTGTCAGTTATCATTCTTGGGAAAAAATGGAACCTTATATTTGGCATTGTGATACTGACTTTTGCAGATGACTTGCTTCTGCTGTGCAACCGAACACCGTGCACATCGGCATTACTCCACACTATGACTGCAAGTTCACATAACACACGGAAAACGATGCAGCAGCGGCCAGAAACTGAAGCTATGTCAGTACCGGGCGATGGCACCGACGAATCCCATCAGCCCCGGCAGTGACGTCCGTGAAAACTATGTATAGAGGAAATGCCCACAGCTGATGGAAGGAGGGAGGCCTCATGACGTGGAGATCAAACATGAAGCAGTAATGGGAGGCCCAGTGGCAACAGCAAGGAGGCGGATTTGTGCCACCATGCGATACTGATGTCTCAACCGAGACACTGCAGGCACGTATCGTATTCTTACGGCATATCAGCGTTCGTGTGGTGCGGCGCTGAACACCCTCCAGTGTCTCGATGTGGTGTTGCTTGTTGGGGCTCCAGATGGAAGAGCAGTATTTGAGGCACGGAAGGACCAGGGCAATGTAAAAAGTCTTCAGAATATTTCATCTAAAGCACAATGAAAACCGGGACACAACCTAGGGTGCTGCGAGCCCCGGCTATGATTCTTGCGACGTGACGACCGAAGTCGACATTTAGTGTTAGAGATATGCCCAGGATGACGAGTGTGTGCACAGGAGGCAAAAGGAATCCACCAAGTCTGACAGTGGTACTGTGGACGATAGCTGAAGTGCGATCACAGATGATGCCGGGCTTCACAGCTGCACGTGACATATGCCTGACACACATGCATGTAGTATTTTTTTTATTTTTTGTTTTAACAATTGGTGACGAGGAGTCGCTAAGGGCCAAGTCTTGCTGTTGCGGGTGTGGCTGTGCACGTACCGAAGAAGTGAATTGCCAGGGTCATGCCAAAGTTAAGAGCCTTTAAGTGGCACTTAAGTAAGTAGTTAAGCGTAAGTAAGCACCGAAAAAACACAGGGACAAGAAAGTAGACAAACAGGCACACTCGCAACTATCTTTTATTTGAAAAAAAACGAATCATATATGTAGTCGTGGCAGAAGGAACAGTCATAGCTAATTCCGGTGTATCCCTCGTAACAAAAAAGAATACTCATTTGCTAATAAAGACAGTGACGTGTCACTTATAAACTTATCACTCTTTGCTTTCATTTCAAAAGCAAAAGAGGTTCTTGATAAAAGCGAGTAGATACGGTGACCACCTGTCCTGCGACTCGCGAAACTGTCTCGCATTAAGGGCTCGTGTCCCGCGTACCGTAAGAAATTCTCAAGTCTTCAAGATGTCCCACATTTCATGCTGTAGTAAAATTCGCTCTGCAAACTCGTGACGCTGTTGAACAACGGGGCACGGGGAAGCATGGAGGTCACTGGTAATCCTGTGAATCGCAATGGTACACCATTTTCTATCCGAGCGTTGCGGGAAGCAGCCATTGTTCTTGCAGAAGAACCGACGCGCATGCTCCGTTGTGCCTCTCCCCTTGGTGGCACCCTGCAGGGGGCACCTGTGAAAGCAGGTGTTTGGAGAGGCGTCTCCACGGACCTTGAGCCATGCGGGTTCGCCCGCCCACGTCTGACTGTGCGTGGCTTTCCCGTGTCTGGGGAAAAGGGCATCCTGGTGGTTGAGCCAAGCACGGGGTAGGTTTGGACCCTTCGGGGCCCCCCGGGCGAGGCAATGCACCGGCCGGGATGATTCAGTCTAGTCGCCACTTCTACTATCCCCTCTCTACTTTCACCCTTGTCTGCTCCTCCTTTTCACTCTTCTCATTCCTCTTCTTTCCTTTTTCAACTCCTTTGGCAGCAAAAGCTAACCTTGGGTGGCGAAAGACCTCTTGTCGAAAACCACACTTGGTTATAGAGACTGGGCAGCACTAATAGAGTAACATTTTCAGCCAAGCCCATCTTGTTATGAAGCGTTACCTATTCCCTTGTTGGGCTCGGTAATGGGCGGTGCACCACAGTTTCCAAACACCATTCCCCTCTTATGGGTTCCAAGCTGAAACAACCTGATCGGCCT